GCTGGGCTCTCTAGCCATCGTTGTCAAACAAACTTGGAGAAGAAAAGTCTAAATTCTAAACCGGTCATGTAGCACCGATGAGCCTCATATTAGATAGCCATTGAAAAGATTACGGAGTTGACAGTTTTCTGTGATGTCAACGAATACTCGTTGTCACTTTCGTAATACTCGTTGTAGTAGAGACTTTGTAATCGCAGATACAACTATAGTAACGCCGTTGAACAATGCTGGTGTCAGACGCCTTCGAATAACACTCGCACTAATAGTACTTGCTCGATAATACTCGCTCGAAAGTAACCACCATATTGATCCGAATAGGGAATAGTGTAGAGAAGAGAATAACGGTCCGTATTTTGATAGAGAAATTATAACGATCAATGAGACACACGCTACCTCCTATATATGTGTTTCCTCTATGGTCACGTGGTGTACTTAATTCAATAATGGGATCGCCTGTGTTTGCTCACTAACGATCTATGTTCAAACTCAAGTTTCGGCAGTGACACTTTATTCCTATATAACACAATTAAAGGAGGCGCGTGGGATGGTGGTTGGATTTTTTTTTTTTTTTTTTTTATCTTGCCCGGTCGAGTTTTTCTTCTGTCTGGTTGCAATTCTATACACTACAAGATGTTTGCAAGCAAAGGGAAAAGCAAAACTAGGTCCAGTAAATCGTCGAAGGAACGGACATAATTAAAATGGGCCAAAGGGAAAGCAACTGAGGCTGTTGGCAATTCGAAAAAAAAAGAAACCATAGAAAAGCTAAGTAAAATGAGCTACCCGGTTATCGCTCCTCATTCAACAGAACTCGATCGGGGTGAGTAAAAAAAAAAAGTTTGATGTATCACTGACCAGTATCATTAATGTATTGACTGGGTCAAGATGTGGCTTGTAAAATTTAAAACTGCATTCTATTAATCATATTAAAGAAACATTTTGCTCTACATCAGCATGAGAGAAACTCACATTGCCTTCTTCCTCACTGACGGTAAGCGCGACACTGAAATCCGTAGACGTATTGGGATGGTCAAGGATGCATTCCAAAAGCTGGGCATAGTATTGCGAGACAGGAGGATTTCTTTGGTAACAAAGAAAAGAGTACTTAGCTGGTACGTCACATTTGCCCTTCTTTACGATAGCGAATGTTAGACGGTCTCTTCAAAGATGAAAAAGAGACTCGAGGCGACGGAGATATGGTTCTACAGAAAGATGCTGAGGATATCATGGACCGAGCGTGTGAGCAACGATGAGGTCACGGAGAGGATGCAAACAAGGAGGAGGCTTATACTTAACATCAGGAAGAGGCAGCTGAAGTTTCTGGGACATGTAATGAGAAAGGAGGGCCTGGAGAATCTGGTTTGTTGTTGTCGTGATTTACGTCAGATCAACCTCAATGGGTTATTTAATGTCGACAACTTTTTTTCCTGGCTATTTCTGGTAATATTTTTTCCTTAAAAATGTATAGCTGGTAATATTTAAAAAAAAGTATTGCTGATAATATTTTTTTTTAAAAAGGTATTGCTGGTAATATTTTTTTTCAAAAAGATATTGCTGGTAATATTTCTTTCAAAAAGGTATTGCTGGTAATATTTTTTTTTCAAAAAGGTATTGCTGGTAATATTTTTTTTTCAAAAAGGTATTGCTGGTAATATTTTTTTTCAAAAAGGTATTGCTGGTAATATTTTTTTTTCAAAAAGGTATTGCTGGTAAAAAATTTTTTTTCAAAAAGGTATTGCTAGTAATATTTTTTTTTTTCAAAAATATATTGCTGGTAATAGACTTTTTCTTTAAAAATTCATTTCTGGTAATAATTTTTTTACAAAATATTCTGGTATTAAAACCTATTTTTACACTTTTATAACGCTTTTTACTTTAGTTTTGGGGTTAACCTCTTGCCCATAGCTGGGACCCTAACAGGTGCTACCACCCCGGGTCAGTGTGGACCTGGAAGCACCAGCAATTAAGAGGTTCCACGCCCCTCAAAACTTCCTGATCAGTGGCCTTGCTGCCGGACGTAGTTTATTGTTTTACCCCGGACGTGGATGTAGTTTATCGACATACCCAGGACGGCTGGGGAATCTGATACTCACAGGTCGAATAGAGGGAACGAGACAAGGGAAAGCTACGCATGGCATTGGCTTAAGCAAATGGAGGACAAGACGTGATCAAGGGGAGATGGCAGAGGGACGAAAGTTATTGAGAGCTACAAGAGATAGGGTGAAGTGGAGAGCCATGATCTCCTACGTCCTGAAAGGGCACGGCACATAAAAAGAACAGAATCAGTTACTAGGTCGTAACCTAGCGAGATTTTCTCACCAGAACATATCTTGCATATTTATAAGTCGTCTACTCGTTCTCACATTGAACACTGCTGACACATCTGCTTTGCTGTTTGTGCTAAGTTTGTAGCGATCCAGTGACTAGACGCAAAGAGTCGTGCGTTCAATACCAGGCCACAGCAGTGGTAATCCCAATCTTGGAGAGTTGAGTTAAAGGGAGATAACTGAGACATCCGGAAGAGGCATAGCATATAAAACTAGAACAATCTATCACAGTGGACGAAATGAAGTATTCGGCTAGAAATTGCATTCACCTGAAGAAGGCCAGAGCGCATAACGGCCGAAACGTTATGAATATAGCAATGGAGATGAGGATAACAGTTCGAATAATGTAAATAGTGTAAGTAATACTATCTTCTTCTCTAATTGTCACTTGTGGCACTTTCTTCCTGCTTCCCTTTTAACTAAATTCTTCAAAGATCTAAATGCAGTAGCTAGTGTCCTCCCTGTTACTTTTAATCTCATTTACTCCTTACATTTTATTGTTTTATTTATCACCTTACTTGTGGTGTATTATATGATTAATTAAAACGAGACGGCTATATTTGTATAAATAAATCACATTCAGCCCTATTTTTCTACTTTCATATTTTACTTTCCTCGATCGAGTTCGGATGAGTGCGGAGCGATAACCGGCTAGCTTATTTTGTTGTTCTCTTTTATTATTATTTAATTTCTTTCTCTTTTTTTCTTTTTTTTTTTTTTGTATTGTTAACTACCGTAGTCGTTATCTCTTTTTGTTTCTTTTTATAATGTCAGTCACTTATGTGCCATGCGTGAAACACGCTTAGGCGATCATATATCTTTCGATACATGACTGACGAGGCAGATTTTTTTTCTCACAGTATGTTGCCATTTCTTTCTGCGGTAGGCCAGTTGCCATCCAAAACTGTCCTACTATTTACCCATAGCGAGGGCGGAGGAGAAGACATTCATATCTTTCCCAAGGGAATTAACACGTAAATGAATGTAATAGATTCGACTAGAATTCTCACACGGCTCGCTGATTCCTCAAACCGAACTGCTACCCATTTTGAGTGTAGTATTCTCAATTCAGAATTCGAACGATTATGGCTCTCCACAGCTTCCTTTTTTTTTGTTCAATGCAATGATTGGAATTCGAATTCGACTCACCGATTCCTCAATCCGAGCCGCTGTCCATTACGTTCTTCTTTGCTATAATTGAAATTGCGTACTTCTAATAAGATCTTTGGAAATAGTTTTCTTCTGTCGCTGTCTGATTCTTATTGTTCGATTATTGGTATTGGTCTTGCAGACCATAGTTTCCTTCTCACCGATTCTATATGATCAGGACCATATACGAGATGAAACTTTAAGCTTAAAGAATTAACTCTACACAACAACTCTCCGCTATTCTCCAATCAAAACAATTCTTTCAAATAGTTTTGGTTTAATGATAACGTCTGCTAGTTCTTCTGCTTGAGGTGTAAGTGTAAATATCTTCTCAATAGGGAGGAATTATGTTCCTACTTCAATTTAATTGGAATATGAGGGGACGCATGTTATAGATCTACCGGGTAACCTGCTCAGTGTGGAGCCCTGTTTTCAATGTGGCGTGACGTCGCAAGAATATCACATCACCGATGAGTGATGACCTGCCAAAGTTACTCTTCGGAATCTTTTTACGGCGCCTCAGAAGACCAAAGAGTGGGACACAAATATTTTTTGTACGTATCATACATACTGATTGAGTACCTCTATGTCTCGCTTCCTTTCTTTTTTCTTTCTCTCCCTTTCTGTCAAACACACACACACGTATACAGGCATATCCATAAAGGCGTATTTACATCTGGACGAATAGATCTTTCTATATATGATTGTCGAAGCACATGAATTTTCTACATCCATATACGTATTTTTTATGATTTAAACCTTATTTTTAGTGGATATTCGTATTTGAGTAGACGCCCCGTTTATTATTTTAAATAATATATTTATTTATTTTCGTCTCACGGGCTAAATGTTCAGAAATGGATTTACGATCTCTGACAGCGATCCTGCGGCTCTCTTTTTTTTATTCAGTTTCTTTTCCAAATCTGAATACGAAATGAAAAAAATCTCATGCTCTGACGAGAGAAGTTTCCATAAAGGTTCAGTTAGTCAAACCTTTGGTAGCCCTGAAAAGCGTATTTGATTTAACAATCGGAACCTTTTCGATATATATATATATATTTGTATATCTATATATATATAAAAAAAAAAAAAAAAAAAAAATCCACTAAATAACATCAACTCTTCGGGAGTAGTAACTAGAAATATTATTAAATAAAATTTATATCTATATACATATATTCGATCCTATATCTCTCTTTTTTTTAGAGAGAGAGAGGCACGTGGCCGATTTTAGTTTCACATTTCAAACATGAATACGAAAATCATGCCGATACAGAAAATCTTTCGTAAGATCTCTGACGAGAAGTTTCCTTTAAACGTTCAATTCGTCCTAACCTTGACTAATTGGATAGACCTTTAGCCCTATATATACACATCAAAAAAAAAGATTTTGATTTTTTGTTAAAAACATTTTTCACGTATGCCTCAGAGACGCATATCTTTCGAAACCTGCTACTGCACAGACAGCGTAAATTTTTCTATAATAAATCCCCATTTCTTGAACTTTTAGGTCGTAAGCGAAATTAA